AACGCACGCAAAGATTAAACTCCGCCAAGCCGGGTGGCCCCGGGCGCCCCAGCTCTACGGCGCGTACCGTATGTTTCGCCGTGATCCGCCAATTGTGCCGCCTCCACCGGCTAACGACAGCGTACAATGGCGAAAAGCGTCTCCGATCGCGCCTGCCCCACCAACAGTTGCACAATGATCCTCGCGCGGATGGGGAGCCGCTAGGCGAGCCAGACGCGGCGCCACCGAGGGCGGGAGAAGGAGAGAGAGGGCCGCCGGCCTGTCTGGCCACGTGTTCGCAGGGAAAGCCGGCCAGAGGTCGGCCACTAGCGGCGGCGACGGTGGCGCGGCCTGTCGCCGACCTTCGGCGCCGGACCGCCCTCAGACGGGCACTGAAGGGACTTCTGAGCTTAACAGCAAGGAGAGTTTGACGCATGAAGTTTCATTTCTGATTACTTGGAATGTAATGGAAAACCAGTGGTGGAGGCTACATACTCAGCAAAACATGCTGTAATTGAACAGATGAGCCGCCGTTCCGCGAACTCGCTCAGTCCGTTACAGCGGATCCTCGCATTCTACGAAACCTACATATACAAATAGCTGGTGAAGTTGATTAACGGGCAGGAACTGACCTTTCTGGTGCAAGTTGCAATAAATGGCTCGCCGAAGTCACCAGTAACCAAGCGCCACCAGTCGCGAAATACCACTTACTCTGGCGGGGACGGAGTCTCCAGTGGGTCTGAGCGTAACGCATCGACGCCACTGCCATCTGGGGATGACCTTTAGAATCAGCAGTGACGCTCCGGCGGGCGCTATACGCCCCTCGTCAGCCATGCCAAGATCTGCTCACGCCCGAAGGGAGAAGGGGCTGGATGGGGCAGGGGTTAACTGCTGGGTCCGTGCCGACCTTAGGTCAGGTCAGACCCCGGCTCAATGACGCCGGCCGGCAGCCGTCGCGTGTAATGGCTGCCGGCTCGGTGAAAGGCAGGTCACTTAGCGCCAAAACGCCCAGCTGGCCAAGCTGCCTTGAGCTGCCGACAATCAGTAATTCCGATCAGCTGCTGCGGTTTCTCACATTGCAGTATCCGGGATAAGAGCCATATCGCTCCATCAATGGTAACGCGGATCTCACACTACAGCTGACCGCCGTAAGTGGCAGTTTTCCGGATCACAAATGTTAATGAAACTAGAACAAGCCATGAATCAAGGTGGCCACCTCACGTGCACTGCAATTTACAGATTGTTTGCGCAATAACTGAAAATGGTTCTAAACGGAAAATATTTGTTGAGTTGTTACCCTTTCTCAAGACGGACGTTTCAACCAAGACTCGGAAAATGCCGTCACAAAACGTATTCATTCAACGTATTATAACGGCTCTGTCATCTCAGCTAAAAACGCATTATTCGTGTCTGCTGACACATTGGGCTCATGAATTCACAAACATTTTAGTCCAGTCATCTTGTGCGATTGAATGCATATTTACGACTTTTTTGCGTTCTCGGAGCCAAGTCAACTCCTGCCCCTTTTCTGCTTCCATCTCTTGTGGCCTTGAAGTGCTTTGGTCATTTTTAAAGTCATCCTAACGTTTTCGCTGCGTGACTTCTTTTGGTAAACGTGAAGGTGCTGAAGATGTCCGTATTTAGTTTTTCAAGCCCACTCCAGGGTTTTATGCCTGCAAAATGACAACAGCGGAGGGCCCGCCCTAAAAACACCAGCGGTAGACATCTTCTAATCAAGGCAAAATAACCGTTTTTAATTTCCCAGTTCAAGTCGCGCGCTTCTCAGCCTGCTTTCAGGCCTTTTGGTCTCGTTTCGATGTGACCTGCTATGCTCAGGCTGCTCAGGCTGTGACCTGCCATGCTCAGGCTGCTCAGGCTGTGACCTGCCATGCTCAGGCTGCTCAGGCTGTGACCTGCTATGCTCAGGCTGCTCAGGCTGTGACCTGCTATGCTCAGGCTGCTCAGGCTGTGACCTGCTATGCTCAGGTGTGTAGCTCACTGCCGGGGACAGTCCCTACAGGCACGCGCGTCCCTCTGCGACTGTGCCGCTCTCCATTCCGACGCCCACGAGCCGACAGCTGGTTTCCGCCCCGGCGTGGGAGTCAGGGCGGGCAGCAAGCCGGACGCCCGGGTCGGGGGGGGGGGAGGGGGCACTCAAGAGAGTGTCCGGCCGGTCCCCGCCTCCCGCTGGCCGAGAAGGGGGAGGGGGGGGGGGGTCACGGGGGCTCTGTGGGATGTCGGCCTGCTGTCTCCCGCTGGGGCAGAGGAGCGGTCATACAGCCCACCTGCCAGGAACTAACCCATCCGCTTGCCGGTCGGAGGAGGGGTGCACGGCCACGGATGCTCACCTGTGGGTACTGGACGGAGCTGCCACTTTAAAGCATAGGTCCGTAACAATCGGACTTTAAAAGGCCGCGACGATTTGGCGGGTACTTCCGACAAAGTTGCGGGTAAGGGTGGGCTTTCAAAAAACAAATTATTTTAGATTGTGTGTTTGTAACACATACACACAATAAATTACTTATTTGTTATGCACAATAACCTCTCGTGAAAAGAGAATATTTGCAAAATGCGTGACAATAACAAAGCAGCATATCTAGTGTTGAGGTTTTCCAGATGCCAAGCATGCTACTTCATAAACAAATCTGCCAAGGCACATTAAATATCTTTATCAGTAGAAGAGCATGGTTTCAGCACTACTATTGCATAAGATTTAGCTATGCAAAAAAGTGAGTGGTTGAAATCCCCACAGATAACGACAGAGCAGGAACCGTTAGACTCAATACCATCCATGAAAATAAAAACGCATCATGAGAACAGAATACCTGGCAAAGCTGAAAGGTTCAAATGTTCACGTCATGTTCAAACAACAAACGGTACCCAACAGCCCCTGCTTGGATGAAATGGAAGCAAGGGCCTGGCATTGGAAGTAAAGCGCATACCATTGCCCGCCAAATCCCGAACACCCTGCCAACAAACCAGTGTTTCGTAACCCAGAACTGATCTGCAGACTTTGTAACGTGGATAAAGCAACAATGTCTGCCGAATTCATGCCAAGTCTTGGAGTTCCGCCCGCGGTTTGTTTAGCCACCAGAACAACAGCCACCATGCCGCGGCATCGAAAGACGATTACGGCGCACATCGCGCGGCCTCGGCACAGCCAAGAGCACGACCAAGGCTGATCGACATTTTTCGCCGTTTACGAAGTTTGGACACTGCATCGATGTGTTCAAATGTTCAAGCACCGATGCATCGATGCTCAAGTTTGGTCAAACTGGTTTGGTTCCGCTGGACAAAAGACTGGTTTGGTGATCAGGTTCTTTTATTTGGCGGACATTGACACGTGTTTTATCTTCAATGTAACCTACATCGACGCAAGGCATAGGTGAAATTTTATCGTGCATTGTCCTCGTGAAACAGCTGCATGGAAACACTTCTGCATGCGAAATTGCAGTATTTTATTAACGTCAGGTACGTTCTGAGTTGAGAACCAAGCAAATTTGGACATGGTTGGCACGTAAAACGATAGCACTGTGAAATCGGCTGTTTTGGTGATAGATCTTTTGACGTAATCATGGGTGACCGGCGCAACGAAGCAATGGATGGCCCGGACGTCATGATTAGCTCAGGTTAAGTGAAAGCATCCTCTAACTTGGCTGAAGTTAAAATACGCCTTCACTGTATTAGCACGCGTAAGGTGCGTAAGTTGTTTAAACTCTCCAACTGCAAAAGACTCCGTTACTTGCGACTCGGTGCCATTTAACAACGACGTTTACGCGGCTTACAAACGAGGTCACATTTGCTAGCCAATTATCGTGTTTAAGTAGCCATTCACAGATCAAACGTTAAGCGTGAAGTCATTTATGGCGCACCGGATCGCGTTTCACTAGTAATGAGGCTTGGAGCGTTACAGCCTTTGGGATTTGATGGCATTACAGTTGACTCGCGAGAAATTGATTTCGAGTATGAAATGAATCCAGCTTTGGATACAGCTTCTCAGTAAGATTTAAAGCCTCGCTACTGTACGTGAGCAAGCTTAGCCAGTCACCAGGCACTAATGTCTATGCAATGAAGAATGGGGCAGGTTGTTATTGAAGTGCGTTTTTGCACTTCGGCAGTGTTTTAGTCCTATAATGTCGGTAATACGTCTGAATTTGTAAAGGTGTTCGTTTTGCAGTGCATACGAAATTTTTTCTTGGTGAAAATGACACTTGTATGATTTCAAATACCAGTCACCTTGGAGCTGTGGATGTCCGATTCTGTCTTTACAAAATACATGGATATGCATATCGTGCAGGGCATAAGGGGACGCACATGAACAAGTGCAAAAATGAGAATCAAGCAAATAAGTAACTTTAGTACCTACAAGGTAAGTTATGTTTTCCACACTAACACTGTTGTCACACTTTCTTACTTTCAAGGTATGAGCCTTTACCTAACTTTGAAGTGCCCTCTGAACAGTCATGAGGATGTTATTCTGGACAAAACATATTTGATATCCTTGAACAAGACAACTGTGTCTTTTGGCCCTTCTGAGAACCTGAGGTTTCCTTGCAATGAGCCAAACTTTTAGACCTTGAAGTAAATGAAGCGTGATAACCACATCATTAACTGTTGCTTTGAAAACAAGTGCTAAAGCCATAAATATCGGTATATACTTCTTACAGTTCCTTCTTTTAGGTCAAATAAAATGCTGAGGTAATTTGCAAGCTTGTGTGCCGGGAATGAAAACTGAGATTTATTAATGCTAGTATTGGAAATACAGAACAAACACAATAAACAGCCTTATATAATTGTTACAACTCTTAGTTGTGGGTCTTATATTGTGGTAAAACTGAGAAAAAACAGTAAGTGTGGGCCTGTTTGGGCTCTTTCTCAAAAATAGCCCTGCGGGGCGGGGCGGGCTTCAAAATGCTCCTGCGGGGCGGGCGCAGGCTTTTAAAATAAAAAAATCTGGCAGCGCTGGTGCTGGACCGTCCACCTCCCACTGGGGGGAGGGCTGTCGGGCCGCGGGTGCTCACCTGGTGGTGCCGGGCCGTCCGGCTGCCGGTCAGCGCCGTCGTACACCATGTAGACGGGCCTGGCGGCTGGGGAGCTGGCGGCCGGCTGGCTCGGCTCACTCGGCGACTTCTTATCTGCAGCAGAGACAAACCACCGACGTCAGATGTGGCGGCCGGCGCAGGGGCGTCCGGGCGCCCGCCGGCGGTCGGACTGGGCATGTCACGCCGCCGCCATCAGACGCCAGTCCGCGACCGGGAGCATGCGACAGCCGGGCCTGCAGTCACGGCATGCAGAGTTACATAAGCTTCTTCTCAGTATTTGTCACACCGTACCGCCTCCCCGACCCCGAGCCTGAAGCCACCCGTGTCCAGCCAGCCTCATCCCGTGGGCGGCAGGACCGCGCACGCATGGACCGTTGCAAGACGCTGGTCCTGTAGCTGCAGTGGTCCGCCGGGCGCCCTCAGGCGTCGTTCCAGCGCAGATTAGTGACACGCCCGCTGCAGCCGCACTCATCGCATGATGGGCAGCTATAGGGCCTACACCGGATGGGTGCGGCGCAGGATTTGTCTTACTCGTGATGTGCATGCCTTGGCGTGTTTGCTGATAACGCCGAACGTTCTGAACCGAGTTTAGCTTTCAACAACATCAATGTTTTTACACGAAGTCATGAATATTTGTTGGTCATGAGTGAATCCGCGTCATATGGGATAATTTAAAATCGTGAATGGCTGTTTTAAGGTGCGATCCACCGAACTTTAACCAATTGGGAGCGACAGAGTCATCTAGTATAAAAAACAGCCTTCGCCTTGTTCCAACCGACTTTCTGCTGCGCAATTTAGCTGCATCAAAGTCATTTATAGAAGCTCGCAACAAGCCTGCCATTAGCTATGATAATGTGGGAAGGGAATTCCTCATTACACATGCGTTGCACTAGATGGGTTCAAGGATAGGTCGAAGCACCCGTCAACGAGACAGTATCGCGCAATCCATAGTACACGCCAGCTGGCTCTAAATATGATCCCGGTAACATCCAGAGCAATTTGTTTGGCGAGTCACGCCCTCCTCCGGTGAGTGTGAGCCCAGTGTGAGCCCACGTCGTGATCACCGTTACGAGGGGTCTGCGACTGACACGATGCGAGGGGAGCGTGTCAGAGGTCAGCGATGAGGTCAGCCCGCTCACACGGCCGGGCGCCGCCGGCGGACCGCTCCGCGCCCGGCGCGCGGCCGCCCATTGTTCCGATGTCGCCGGCGGCGGCAGGCTGGCTCCGGACACGCTCCGTGTCGGCGCTGGTCAGCGTGGCACTGGCCGACGAACGGTCCGTCCTCGGTCGACAGCGCTGGCCGACTAACGGCGGCTATAGCCGCGCCGGCTGGTCCTGTCGGCTTTGCTGCGGTGTTTGGGCTGTCTCCGGCCGCCGTCGGAGGCACCTACTTGTCGGCGCCCTCCGGAAGGCCGTGTGAAGCGTGCCAGTCAGCCGCATCGGGCCGTGTAAAATAACTTGGCATTAGAGGCGGGACGTGGCGGCCTGACAGCGGCGGACAGCTGCGGAGAAAGCGCGGACAGGCAGCCATGCGCCGTCCATGGCGCACCACAGGACAGCCGAGTCCGTTTACACTGCTGACGTCACCGGCCTGAGCTGGACGGCGGTCACGTGACCCGGGCTGCAGCGCCGAGACCCACATATGTCACTCATGCCGCCCGTCGGGACAGGGCGGGCAGGCTGCACTCGGCACTTCTGCCGCCGCGTGACCGAGGCCGTCACGTGTCACGTGGCCCATCGCCACCGCAGCTGCATCGCGCCGCGCCGAGGACCTGAGACCGCACCAGGCTTATCGCCATTCACGTGGTCCACTGCAAGCGACTGTCACGTGGCACGTCAGTCAGTGTAAGAAGATTTGTTTCGTGGCACGTCCGCGGCAGCGCGAGCAAACGACTCAGTGGTGACTCGCTTCCCGCTATAAAAATAATCAGAGCTGACACGTGGCACGTTTAATGCTCACTGGTGACAGTGTGACCAAAGGCATTCACCAGGAGCATTGCTGGGCGAACGGGGGAGCGGCACTTGGACGCGTTGTTCGCTCGACCTCAGCGCGACCACGAGCCCCACTGGCCAGTAGTCACGTGGACCAATGCATAGGAGAGAGACATCGGACGCGTTGGAACAAATGGCGTATGGGAGAACAGTCGCATCACGGAAGATATGTAACGATGAAAGGACGCACCGGGAACACTCGTTAAAGAAGCCATGCAGCTTAGGCCGCGAAAGACAGGCCGTAATAAGTGCGCATCACAGCCACGCATCAGAGTTGTACCAGACGGGCCGCCGCGGCTGGAGCGTGCGAACCGGCCCGGTGCCCTGCGTCGGGCGTCCGGGGTGCCGTCAGCTGCGGACACCGCGGTCAGCCGGCCAGCTGGGATCGGCTCGGCGTCGGCCGGGGGCGGTCACCGGGCGGCACCCCACGCCGACCCCTGACCTTCCCACGGCCCACGGCCGGCTGTTTATTGTCGGGCCCCGCACCAGCTGCTGCGAGGTATGCGCTCGGGTAGACGGGTGGTCGAAGCCGACGGCGGCCCCGCAGCGGGCCGCAGCCGGCAGCGAATCGCGCACGTACTATGATGCGTTCCGACAGATCTGTGCCAGCGCCACCCGTTTCCAGTCACTGATCACACGCGCCCCGCGCCCCGACGTGCCGTGCGCCAGGGCGCTCCGTACGGGCTGAGAGCATTGCGCAGAGACGGCGGGTTGTAACACCTCTGACCCGCGCTTGCGACAGAGGCGAGTCGCTGTGACCCGGCGCCCGGGTCGAGCGGCTAGCGCCGGTTTCACAGCGAGAGGCAGGCGACGTGAGAAGCCGGGCGCGCTGCGGCCCCACCGGCGCACGGCACCGCCGCCTGCCGTCGACGGCACGTGCAGTACGTGAGGACGTCGCTGGGTTGTGGCGTTTTCTGAAGCTTTCATTTCGCGAGTTGGGTAACTTGTACGCAGCAGCGTTTCGCGATGCTGCGGGTGCGTGTTTTGATTAGGCAAGGACGTGGCTTGTCTGTGGCGTTCTCCGAAGCGGTTGCCAGTGGTGCTCAAGCCCAAAGACGGCTGTGTTGCAATACAACTAGCTTTTTACGGAAGGCTATTGCTTCAAGTGAATCGGGAGGTCGTCTTTTAATCCAGGTCAGAAAAGTCATGTTGCAGCAATACATCCACGACTTGCTTTAATGAAATGCATTTTGAAACGCTCCTTCTTATTGTTTTCTTTTCCATTTCGACGAAGCACAGCAGTCTGTGCACGCCACTCGGCCTCAGCACGCCACGGCGATGGACAACAGATACCGTGAACACAGCACATCCTGCGGGAGTGGTAGCACCACAGACGGTAACGTGAGTCAGAACTTCCGCGCCAACTACGCCGCGTCGGTAAGGAACAAGTAGCGTCTCCACATCCACGTTGTGTCACGGCCGTGCAGACGCTTAATACGGTCTGCCTGCTTTTGCAGCTCTCGCCATAATGCTGCTTTACCACGGACCTGCAACTGAACGCCGTGAGCTGGTCTTTACGGGGAGCTCACGTCACTGGAGCCGAAGTATTTTTTCCTGTTCGTTAAGGCGCCTTGGGCATCACGCAAGGAGTTTCAGAACGACCGTTTCAACGGAGGCTACAACGGCCAACTGTCTATCATCGCCTGTCCGAACGGACCAAAGCTAACAGCGTTCTTGCTGTTGCGCCGACGGTTGTCTGGCCGACGGTTAACATTCCCGCCGCTGGTCCAGATCCGCACCCCAGATCCACTAATGCCGATGACGTGTCGTCTGGCTGTCACAGCACGGCCACCGATCCATCCGACCGCAGTCCTGTGTTTACATACCGCGTGTTTTCATCGGACGGAACCACTGGCGCCGGGCGGGCTGGCACCGTCAGGCTCTCAGGCTGGCTCTCGCTGCCGTCAGGTCCCCGTCACCCCGCACGGCAGGCCCCTCGCACGCCCCTCCGCCCAACAGGACCCGTCACTCCCGCACGGCAGCCCCCTCGTACGCCCCTCTGCTGCACTGGGACAGGACCCGTCACCCCGCACAGCAGCCCCCTCGTGCGCCCCTCCGCTGCACTGGGACAGGACCCGTCACCTCCGCACGGCAGCTCCTCGTGCGCCCCTCCGCTGCACTGGGACAGGACCCGTCACCTCCGCACGGCAGCCCCTCGTGCGCCCCTCCGCTGCACTGGGACAGGACCCGTCACTTCCGCACAAAGCCCCCTGTCGCCCTTGCGCAGAGGCAGGCCCCCGTCACCCCTGCACGGGGGCAGGTCTCCGTCACTCCGGTACAGGGGCAGGCCCCCGTCACTCCCGCACGGCAGCCCCCTCGTACGCCCCTCCGCTGCACTTGGGCAGGACCCGTCACCTCCGCACGGCAGACCCTCGTACGCCCCTCCGCTGCACTGGGACAGGACCCGTCACCTCCGCACGGCAGCCCCTCGTACGCCCCTCCGCTGCACTGGGACAGGACCCGTCACCCCGCACGGCAGCCCCCTCGTACGTCCCTCCTCTGCGCTGGGACAGGACCCGTCACCTCCGCACGGCAGCCCCTCGTGCGCCCCTCCGCTGCACTGGGACAGGACCCATCACCTCCGCACGGCAGCCCCTCGTACGCCCCTCCGCTGCACTGGGACAGGACCCGCCACCCCCGCACGGCAGCCCCCTCGTACGCCCCTCCGCTGCACTGGGACAGGACCCGTCACCTCCGCACGGCAGCCCCCTCGTACGCCCCTCTGCTGCACTGGGACAGGACCCGTCACCTCCGCACGGCAGCCCCCTCGTACGCCCCTCCGCCCAACAGGACCCGTCACCCCCGCACGGCAGCCCCCTCGTACGTCCCTCCGCTGCACTGGGACAGGACCCGTCACCCCCGCACGGCAGCCTCCTCGTACGTCCCTCCGCTGCCCTGGGACAGGACCCGTCACCCCCGCACGGCAGCCCCCTCGTACGTCCCTCCGCTGCGCTGGGACAGGACCCATCACCGCCGCACGGCAGCCCCTCGTACGTCCCTCCGCTGCGCTGGGACAGGATCCATCCCCGCGGTGTGCCCCGGATGCCCCTCCCCTCTCCACTGCCGCCGGATGTGCACGGGTCGACCGGTGATAAGCCGATGACGCGGGCACAGCCGGCCCTGCCCACCACCAGGGAGGGGAGAGAAGGGGAGGTGCGGGGAAGCCGGCGGTCGGCTTGTCCCCGGTCGGAACACGTCACCACCGCCCGCCCTGATCCCTTCCCACCGGCACATCGTCATCCGTAGTCAGAGTATGCCTGCAACGGCCACCCTGTGTGTTCGACGTTTGATTAGCAATGGCTACCAAGTAAGACTATAGCAGGAACGTTGATAATCACAACCCCAACATCTCCCTGTTGACTGGCCCCGAGGGTTTGGAAAAATATACACTACGCTAAAGCCGAGCCGAAGGTCATGCGATTTGATCCAAGGTTCAAACATTGAACCATAACATCGTTTGCTTGCTCTGCGTTGCTATGGCATTGTGCGCGACAATGCACGTACATTTGTCTCGAAGACGACACCAGTTAGCTGTTCGCCTCCTGACGAACGCTGTGGTAAATACTGCCGTCTGCAATCATGACGTTTGAATGCCTTCTGCCTGCCGGCGAAGTACTTATGACTTCCGCCAGGTGGTCCATACTCACAGAGCAACAGGACGACGTCGTCGTTCCGCTTGCTCTTGTCCATGCCGCCAGCATCACCATGACTCCCGGCCACCAGGTCAAACGTGGCAGCGCGCAGCTTCCCCAGTTTGGCGCTGGTTGTTCGCTCGCTGAGGTGACAGACGGGACCACCGCGGCGCTGTCCCACTTCGACGCTCACACGCGCGAGTCACCGATGCGAGTCGAGGCGGCGCTCCCGGAGGACCCTCTCACACGGGGAAGAACCCTGTCGATGCCGTCTCACTTCAGCGGGGCAATCCGCACTCACTCCCACAATTTGTCTTCTGACCCCAGTGGTCACACTCGCAGGCCCACGTCCCCTGCACAGGCACGGTCTCGTTCGTACGTCGCTGCCACGCTGCAGAGGTCACGTCACAGATCCGTATGGGGCTGCCCTCGACACGTCACTCGCGCGTCAGGTCGCCGCTCCTCAGCCACCGCTCACACCAGTCGCCGGCGCCGTTCACCAGCGCGCGCCACGCGCCGTCCGCAGCGTCGCTGCCGCGTCCGCACCAGGCCGCGAGCGCCGCACGTGTGCCGCTGGCGGGCCGGGCTGGCGGCGGCGGGCGGCGGACGGCGGGCGGCGGCGGCGGCAGCGGCGGGCGGGCACTGACACCGCCGCGCGCCGCCGCGCCGTTCCCACACACCTGGCGCCGCCACGCACCGCGGCCCGCCGACGCCGGACGCGCTGGGAGCCGCCGGCACGGCCGTGACGCTGCCCGGGTGGCGGCACGCAGCCCGCTGGCGGTTGGCGCCGGCTCGAGACGGCGGCGGCACGCAGCAGTGCTGGCTGCTCACGCTGCGGGCAAGCGCTGGCCAAGTCGGTGGCGGCTGTTGTTGTGACGGCGGGCGGTGAGACGCTCCGACAGGCCGTGTAACGCCCGGGCCGGCCCTCGCTGGCTGTGCTGTGGTGCGACCGCTGCCGGTCTGATGGCGTGTGGTCCGTGTAGACGTGCCGCTGCTGTTGGGGACACCCCACTGAGACCATGAGCGACCAGGCGGCCCATAGAGATGGACCTCGAGCCGGGAGGCGCCCCCCCCCCCCCTCCCCTCCCCGCCACCCGCTCCGTGGGGCCGGCCATGCGGCACGAGGAATGAAGAGGCTCGGGGCACGTGTGTGGCCACGTGCCATTTGCCCCAGCCGATGTTGGTTCTGGCCTCCTGTGGTGATCGCTGCCCGGACGGGTACGTCGTGCACACCTGCACCCCATGTATTGTAAATGGAAATTGCAGGGGACTTGACCGCTATAAAAAGAAGCTGAACAAGCTGCGGAGCCGTGACAAGGTGGGCTGGTGCTCTGCTTCGATTGGCGTTAGACGCTTTTATCCGCCGCAGGTACACCGTAAATATTGGGCGCATATCATGTTGTGGTTTGTTTTACAATGCCTTGCTATTCTCATAGTTCATGGAGCTGAACAACTGGTTTCGTGCTTGTCACGCCTCGAACACTGAGATGCACGTGGCGAATGTACACCCGGGGTGCAAGCATGCGCATTTCCGAGAGCCTAGCCTTCTGAAGCTAGCTGACTACGGATGATATCTAGCCTAGCCATAGCCTAGCTATGGACGCGCGGAAGCCGATGTCTCTCTCTCTCTCTCTCTCTCTCTCTCTCTCTCTCTCTCTCTCTCTCTCTCTCTCTCTCTCTCTCTCTCTCTCTCTCTCTCTCTCTCTCTCTCTCTCTCCCTCTCTCTCTCCCTCTCTCTCTGTCTCCCTCTCTTTCTCTCTCTCAGCTTGCGTGCACTCGACATCGAACAGACCAAGGTTGTCTACCAGCAAGCAACCGGCACTGTTGTTGCTCTTCCGTCCGTGACGTTTGTACCGACCCAGCTCCTGTTCGCCGAAGCAATCTCTGGTCAAAGCCTCAACCTGCGGTGGGGTTGCGTCCCCTGGGAATCGCCACTGACTTTGGTGCGGGATCCACCCTGCAGCCGGCTGACTGCGAGACCGAAGCTACTGCATTGCTTCTAATGATCAAGGGATGACCTCGGCCAGTCAGCACCGGCATACCAGGCGCGCCACGGCGCAATGTGGCGCCGTCAGCAAACACACACGACACCGGCCGGGTCACGGGTCACGGGGGCCGTGACCTCGAGCCGGCCGGGGCCGCCGGCCCGGCTCGTGCCGAGTCATGTGATGCCTGGGAACGCGCCCGCCTGCACGGGGTGGCGAGCGCGCCGGGGGCGGCGGAGCCAGCTGCCACGAAATGGAGTCATCGGCTCGGTGCGGGTGTGGAATCAGGTGCGGCAGAGAGCGGCAAGCCGCGCCGGGATCGCTGGCGGTCAGCGCACCCTCAGTGCGGGGGGTGCGGCCGGCCCCTGGCCGTGACGCACCGGCCGCACCCCGGGCGGCACCCCGCACCCGTGGAGGGGCGGGACCATCAGGTCAGGGCGCCGCGCCCTCCTAGAAGGCTCTGACTCACTGCCCAAACAGCGCCAGCCGCGGCCGGCGAGTCGACGAGTCGCGCGCGGTCGGCGCAGCAGCCGGCGGTGGGGAGGGGCTGATGGAACCGCCGGAGGGGAGGGGAAGGGTGCAGGACAAAGGCTTGTGGTAGCGGCGATGTGTGGTCTGCGCAGCGGCTTAACACGGCGGCCTGAACCAGACTCGCATCCGGGTGATTGGCTTTGTACCAAACCACGGGGGGTGACGGCCGATTTAAACGCGTAGCCCAAATGCTTGCATCTGATCCACAAGTGTACTGCAGTGAGAGATTTACAGCTCTTGCTGCAGCCGTGTGACCACATGAGGATCTGACTGCTGAACGCTGCTTTCAGCTTCAAACCTTGCGGATTCAAGTCCAACGCAACGAGGAGCACCGACCGCCGGGAACCAGGACGTTGCGCCAAATTTAAGCACTTCTCGCAGAGCCGGTTTTATGACACGCAACGCCGCTGATCATGAAGAATGTCCCAAAGCTTCTAACTGGGCTGGTTATCAGCGCTACAGGACTGGCGGTCTGCAGTGCCCTCGCTCACCCCATCCGTAACAAGCCGGCCTTGCTCACCCGCCTTCCATTGGTCGGTGGCGTGCGGAGCGCGCGGGGCCGGCTGGCGGGGCGCAGGCTGGGCGCCGCCTGGCGGACGGGACGACGCGGCCCGACCCTCGCGCCAGGGGTCGTCCGCCTCCGACCCGGGGCCTCGCCGCCGCGGCGTCCATTCACCGGGCGCGTTTTGTGGCGGCGCTCAGGCCGCGCGATGAGGGCCGCCACGCCAGACCGACGACCGCGTCTGGTAAAAATAGAGAGCGCGCCGCCGGCTTTCGGGCGGTCGACAGGCGGACTTGATGGGCAGTGGGACGGGCCTGGATGCGAACGGCACGGCACGCCTGGCTAACGGGGCTGACAGCAGGTCCTCCTGGCACGGAAGTCACGGAATGCGGTGATCCAACAAACGCCGCCGCCGCCGCCGCGCGCGCGGGGCGGGGCGCACCTCTCGGGGGCGGCGGCGGGGCGCGGCTGCGCAAACAGGCAGCCGCCGCCGCACAAAGGTGGCAAATGGCGCGTGGCAGTCCTGACAGCGGCCGTCGAGGGGAACTACTCGGCACCCCGGCCGGCCGACGCCTGGCTGGCCACCACCGAACCGAGCGCTAACGAACGGATGGCCCCGCTCGCGATCCAGCTCTGGCTCTCCGTAAAAAGCGAGCCGCGCCGTTTTTGTGGCCGTCGCGGCGCAGCTGCCGCGTGCCTGTGCGCGCCGCTCCTCGGCTGCACGCAGCCGTGATCAGCTAGATAGCGCCATGAATGAGCATCTGCCGTTCACCCGCACCAGTAAGCTGTCGCGCACGGGATCTGTCAGGCGTGCTGCTCTGAGCTCTGCTCTGCTCTGTCAGGTGTGCTGCTCTGAGCTCTGCTCTGCTCTTTCAGACGTGCTGCTCTGAGCTCTGCTCTGATCTGTCAGGTGTGCTGCTCTGAGCTCTGCCCTGCTCTGTCAGGTGTGCTGCTCTGAGCCCTATCCTGCTGTTTCAGGTGTGCCGCTCTGAGCCCTGCCCTGCTCTGTCAGGTGTGCCGCTCTGAGCTCTGCCCTGCTCTGTCAGGTGTGCCGCTCTGAGCCCTGCCTTGCTCTGCCAGGTGTGCCGCTCTGAGCCCTGCCCTGCTCTGTCAGGTGTGCTACTCCCATGAGCGGGTCGCACGCCCGGTTACGCCGCCGTGGGGAGAGAGCCGGCGGCGCGGGAGGGAGGGACTGGGTCGATCTGGCCGCCTCGGAGCCAATCATCTGGTGCAGCGCGGCTGCATCGCCAGGCGCCGGCTGGCCGTCAGTCGCGCCCCGGCGAGACCCGGCGCGCCTGCCGGCTCCGCCTGCCAGGCCGGCGCCACCTGCCCACGCGCAGATCGCTTCAGCGTGACAAACGGTAACATTAGAGGGCACGACCGCGCTAGCCGCGCTGCAAACTCGAACACAGCGCACTTGAAAACGTCATCTACTGAGAACTACAAATACGAACTCGTGTGACCGCTCTCTTCCGGAAGTATCCTGCGCACTCGCGCCATTAACGGTAACCTGTCCGCGCCTGGCTGGCTCCCGTCTGCCCCCGGATGGTGTTGGATGCTGGATGTTCTGAACTCGATTAGGCCAATCAGGGCGCGCCAGTTGGGCGTGTCGGTGACCTCTGAACACGATCCCATAACGATCGAAGCCAACACGGAGCAGCTCGCTGATGCCGCGCATCACCGCCCGGCCGCCTCCAGCAGCGAGCGTGGCTGTGACAGCTGCCTTCTGCTGAGGATGACAGCTTTGACTGCTCTCTTATGCTTGCGACCACGACTTTGACCGCTCTTTCCTGCTGAGAGTCACGTATTGCCGACCTTCGGCGGCCAGTCAGCAGCGAGTGCCGATGCTGGAGGTGTCACAGTTCGTCATGTTGAAGCGAAATGCTCCTTAGCTTGTATCCTCCGACAACTCTGCCACTCCACCAGCATCCCACATAAATTTCCACCTCGTGCGTTTGACCACCGTCAGGGACGGGGGAGACGCAGGTGCAGGCGAGCGTCTCTCTGACGCGGGCGCTCTGCGCGTGACGTCATGCTCAGAGCGTGACGTCACGCTCTGAGCGTGACGCGTCGGGCAGCTTGGCCACACACGCAGAAGCACGCAGCGGTGGCGTGTAGGGCCGCCCGCGGCCCAGAGCCGGCCACAGCAGCGGCTCCGGTGGCCAGACGGCGTGCACGCGGCCCACTTTCCTCCCGGCCGCACGCGGCCATGGTGTGCCGAAGCTGAGACAGGCTCGACGGCTGTCAGCCAAGCCCAGCGGAGGACTGCCAGCCAGGCCCTGCGGGGGGCCTGGTCACGCGGAGGACTGTCAGCCAAGCCCTGTGGAAGGCTGCCAAACAGGCCCAGCGGGAAGACTGAGCAGTCGATTGGGGCCCAGCGGGACAACTGAGCAGCGGGCTGGGACCCAGCAGGACGACTGAGCAGCGGGCTGGGGCCCAGCGGGAGGACTGGGCAGCGGACTGGGGCCCAGCAGGACGGCTGAGCAGCGGACTGGGG